CTACCCTGAGACGCTCTGACAGAGGAGAGGGACGGAAAAACTGTTGAACAAACTTATTTAACCAGTCATTTCATAAATGTGGTATTTCAAGATAATACTGTATAATAAAATCTATACCTGCCAATCTCTCCAGTGGTCAGGATGAGAGTGTTGCGCAGGTCATCATCTCTGTTGAGTTTCGCGTTGTTGAAAGCTTCCTTAAGACGAGCAACCAGGAGCTGATCCAGTCACAAGATACACACAATCAACCTCACTGTCAAGTATTTATATGGTTAAAGTCCCAAAAGTAAAATTATACGGAATATTTTGTGTTCATTATAATATATGTATAATGACCGAGTGTCGACCACAGACTCATATTATTCACCTCATTCAGAGAGCTCTGCTCTGAGTTTCTGCTGCTCTCCATTAGCAGGAAACATACTGATTGGCTAAAACGTATTCTGACCACTGGATCCTTGTCCTCCATCAGACCAATCAGAGCACAGAGAACTGCACGAGAGTCACTGTCTCCACCAATCAGATTTACATGTTGGCAGAGGTGAGGCAGAGCTTCTAGGAAAGCTGGGGCAGTGAAATGCATCATTAAAAATGAAGCTTTAAATAATAGACAAACAGTGTTCAGTGGTACTGCTTATTACTGTGAATAATTATATAGACTCAAATCATAAAAATATGAAATGGAAAAAGTTGAAATACCTTGTTTGACACTACTTGGAGTTTCCTCTCTGAGCAATGGCAGAAAGGGTCTGATAAAAGTTGCTTTGAGGGATGGACAAGCATTCCCAGCATGCTCTGCTGCGAGGCTAAGGCAGAGGCAAAGTTTTCTGGGAGGAGAGGTGGACGCCACCTGAGTGTCACTGAGCAGGGAGAGCTCTGTTTGGATGCAGCTCAGCTGACCAATGATCCTGGCAAGCTCCTTCCTCACCTGCTCCGAACTGTCGTCCAACCTGGAACTGGAAATGTTTATAAAATGAAATGAATCATACCGGAAAGATAAATTCAAGAATGAAAAGTTTGGGAGTTTACCTACAGCAGAGTACTGCTGATGAGGTTGTGATGCGTGTTTCCCAGGTGGTGAAGCAGGAGAGGGAAGGCCCTGACTGCCGCCGCTCTCACCACCTCCTCTGGACTCTGCAGCGCCTTGGAAAACACACACACGCGCCATTTCTCACACACACCACGATGCAGGAGGGCCAGTAGCGACACACAGTCCACCTGGACCTCAGGTGCTGGAGAGACAAACCGGTTTGACGTCAGGTTTTCACATTGATGTCATGGCTTTTTAAAATGATTTAAAATCTGTATTTTAATGAGTGATTGTTAAATCGATTTGAGACATCAGCTACAGGTGACAACAAACTAATCTAAAATTGTATTGTTATGCGGAAGAAATACTCACAGTAACAGAAGCTCAGTCTCTGAGCCATTGCAGAAAGCCAGGAGGGGAAACCTGAACTCTTGTAGATGGAGACAGACTTGTTCTCACACGCCCAGGGAAGTGATAACAGAGCACACACACGTCGCTGGAGTCCGTCCTCACTCTGACTGCTCACTATACTCACACATACACAGCAGGGCGGACAAAAGTAAAGCTAGAGCTTAGAGAGCGTAAAGTCAATGTTGGATATTATTGGTACAAATAACTGAAAATATGTTTTCATTGTGACATAAAATGAATAAATCCACGAGAAAAGTTTAACATGTGTTTTGCATGTGTCTGTCCGTACTCTTAAGGAACACGATAGAGTCCAGGACCTCAACAGTCGTCTGGAGAACAGATTGAAAGTAGTTCTGGTTTGTGACAGGTTGAGATCCTCCTTCTAACACTGACTGACAGCTCTTCAGAGCTCTGCCCAGAGTCTCAGTGGACACCCAGAGCAGAGGAGAGGAACTGTTGACAGAGGAAGAGAAAAAATTCATTGAAGTCACTTCAGAGAAAGTTGTTTTTTCTGAGACAAAAGATAAAAATAAAAGTGCACTAGAGTGGGAAATGTGTAAATGTTGGTGTATTACCTGGTGGGCGAGGAGCAGAGGGCTGCCAGGTGGAGGGTGAGGGCGAGTCCCTCCAGAGCACAGAGAGTCTCTTGGGCCTCAGGTTCAGCAGAGTCCGAGTTCAGAAGCGTCAGCAGCTCCTCCAGCCGACTGTTCACTACAGCCCACACCTCGCTCCGGACACGCATGTCCACTTCCCTTAGGACACAGAGACACACGGTGTATTAAATGTAAAGAACTTTAGAGGAAAGCTGGTGTGTTGATTTATGATAGTGACAATTCCGACTAACACTATGAGAGCAAATACACAAAAGCATTTCATTTGCTTTTGCCTGAAAAAACCCTATTAATTGTAATTGTGATGGTTAAAATCTATGCCATATAAAACTTTATACGAATTGTGGCACAATATACCGTGGCCACAAACAGGCCTCTTCACATCTACATCACAAGAATCAGGAAATTCGAAACCACCTGAGGATAATCCACTTTGTTTTATTTTATAGTCCGATATGATATGATGCACTATAGCATCTTATATAATAAGGTGGAGCCCTGAACTTACGGTGATGATGTTTTCGTTGTTTTACCGACAGAGCTAGTGGCTGATTTGCAGGATTTCTTTGCAGCGGACTCTCCGTCTCCTGACTTCTGCATCACCAGAGCTGTCTCAGCCTTTAGTGCGGCTCGGAGAAATCCCTCCGCGCACTGCAGATCACATGAAAAACAGATACTGTAAAGAGTTGTGACAAATAATAGATAAACTCAAAGAACTAAATCATACTTCAGCTTGATTTTCTGTCCCAACGGTGCGTGCCAGCATCCTGCAGACCTCCGTGACTCGCTGCCTCCTTAATGACGCAACAGTCTCATAAACTGGGGCAACAGACAATAAGAAGCTGAACAGCAAACAAAGTGATTCGGTCATCTCTGTCCCTAACTTGACGCCTGTTCCTCCATGAGTACAAACACACTCAAACATCTGCGAGAGGTAGATGGGCTCAAAGTGTGTGTGAGAGGCACCAGACGACTGAAACACACAGCGAGTCAGGTGTAGCAGCTCCCCTCCATAGGGTTGTTTCTCATCTGAGCCTGTGTTTGCTGTAGCGTGTGTTTCCAGCAGCTGAAGGTAGGCTGTGAAGAACTCATGGCCTTGCCTCTCAGGAAACCCTCCCAGCTCCACCAGTCGCCTCAGCATCACCATGGACAGCTTTCTCAGCCTCGTGTTGCCGTTGGCGAGGATGGAGCAAGCCGTCTCCCAGGCCGCACTCAGGTCATGACGAGAAACCACACCCCTGAGGGCGTCAGTAATGATACCGATCATCACGGCAGTCAGCGACTCCAGCGCAGCGGGCGAAGAGAGAACAAGAGGAGAAGGGGTGAGGTACGAGGAAGCGCAACCGGGGGAGATACTGAAGCATTTAAGTGTTACGGGCCATCGCTTCTGTGCGTGCACACCCAAAGAGTGTCCTTGTCCGGAGAGTGCGACGACGTGGGCGTACAGAATGTTGCCGAGGTCCTGGGCCAGATATATGAGTTCCTGAGTGAGGTGGCTGAAGATGAACGGTGCTCGGACTCTCAGAGTGTGAAGCAAAGAGCGCAACACGGCAGAGACGCGGCCGTGGATGACGTCACAGTCCGGAGCTGCTGCCACACGAAGCAAACGCACAGCCACCCACTTACTGAAGTCTGAATCAAACGGGGAAAGGAAGAAATAAAAACAAATAACCACACTTTTATCTATGAACATTTTTACCTCAGAAATGTTTATCTTAATATTGCAGCTCTCCTACCGTTACAGCTCTGTGTGGTGTCTGGATACTCCGCAGGCTGGCAGGCAGGATTGGCAAACATCAGAGACGAGGATTTGACTATGTGCTGCACAAAGTCCAGGAGCATCACACAGGCTGGTTCTGAACTGGACTTTTTATTCAGACCCAGAGCAACTGGAAGAAGAATACAGACAACACATCAGATTATCAAACTGGTTATTCTCATCTGGAGATCTGGGCTTTCTCACAACAGTCACAAGCTAGATTCCAGATTAGAAATGGGAGAAAAATATATTTCTGGTAATTACTCAAATTAATATTAGAAGCCAAACTCTTCTAAATGACACTCAGTCATTATTTAGTTTATCATTTATGTGTATATGTTATTACTTGAACTGAATTGAATTCTATATATATACTGTTTTTGTTTTTTTAAGAATCTCAGCTGTTCCTGTCACCGTGTCTGTGAACCTGACACTCACCGACATCCACATCCGTCAGTATCCTGTCAATGAACTGACACAGGATCTGTCGAGGTTTCTGCACCGCCTGCTCGTACTCTGCGGGGCTGGAGCTGCAGAACACAACCACACGTCCATTCAACCTCAGCAGCTCAGTGTCAACCTGAAGCAGCCTCTGACATGTTGTTAGCATTAGCTTAGCGAAGTGTAGCCCGGGGGATACTGACCTCGCCAGCTCCTGCAGAGCCGGAATCATCGCGGACATCTCGAGTCCTTCCATGTTCTCAGCAGCTCGGTGCGTCGGTAGTTGAAGGACTTCTTCAAGACATTGTCTTTGAGGATCTGTCCGGTAACTTTCCCCAGTGAAACAGCTGCAGGTCCGCGAGCATCCGCACGTGACCCTGACAAGCGTTTCGAAAACTTTCGCTCCAAAGTGACGTTTCGGTTTTGGTACGGCAGCCCGCGAGGGTCAAAACAGCTCAAACGCGATCTGGCCACGACTTATTTATAAGTCAAATATTTTGTGGCCTTTTTGTCATTTATATGTTATATGTAATTGTTAATGTGACAACAGAGGCTCAATTGCAAATCAAGAAAACACACAAAAAACGTGCAAGTGAGAAAAGACACATATAAATAGAAAAACCTGCAAATTAAGAAAACAGCTTCATCACTTTGACGACACAGGAGCTGCAGAACGTCACAACGCAAGCAAATACACAAAACTATTTGTACACCGGACCAAAGATCACACCTCCTTTCTAAAAGCAGTTGAGATTTTTTTAATTGACATTAGCAAATGTTTTTTTCTTTATTCAAACAGGGAAAAATGTCATTAAACTTGCATTATTGACCAAAATCGACTGGCAGCTTTCACACCACATAGTACAAATACAATTCAGTCCAAATGCAGAACAACATATTAACAAACTGTTTAAATAAAATTAAGCAAGAGATTGATTAGATTTTCAGGTGAACTGTGCCTGTTGTGTAAGAAACTTTGTATGAGCTAATTTTACAGACACATGGCATCAATTATGTTTTTATGTACTGACATATGTTATAAACCTCTAAAGGTTCAAGTAACACACATATACAATGATACTCATAACATTTTTAAAACATTTAATAATTAAATAGCAACAATGAATGCACAACAGACTTAAAGAAGAGGGTCATGTATGTGTATTGCAGCAGAAAGAAGATGTCATGACGTATTAAATGTGATTCAGCGAAGAACAATAAGAAGCCTAATCACAGATAAACAAATGCAGAGGGTTTGTTGGAGAGAAATTATTTTGAAATTGAGCAGAATACAAACTGTTGTGTGATCTCAACATGGTCAACGACAACGATTTGGAAAGAGTAAAGAGAGAATGGAAATAAAATGTTTTGAATGAATCATATTGATATTTTGGTTCCCAGGCTTGTTCGTGTGTGTTTTTTGGTTTTCTTTCAGCGGCTGGCCTTTTTCAAACTGTGGCCCATGAGGCAGGCGAACAGCGTCAGCACCATCTTGGGATTCACCTCCACCAAATCATCGGGCAGCGTGTAAACACGAGCTCCGATCTTACGGGCCAGTGAGATTGCGTACCTGAGAAGAGCAGGAAGAGGGAGGAGTTAGGAGACAATGATTGAGTGAAAAATGCAAAGAGAAAAGGCAACAACAACAATTAGAACTTTTTTTTTACTTGGCGTTGTTGAGTTTATCGTCGTTCTTCATTGCTCTCTCCTCTCCTCTCTTCACCATGTCCCACTTGACTGTACCGGGAGCGATGGCATCAATCAGGTCAATCACTGGCAGACTGGTGCTGATCAGTTTGTCCTGCAGAGAAAAGGGAAATGAGGTTAAATGCAGCCATCTTCTTTACAATAAAATATATTCTCAAGAACACACACACACCTTGAAGCTTCTGATCTCTGTGTCCTTGTGTTTCTGGCTCAGCGTTTTGTTGACCCAGCTGAGGATGATATGATCTTCAACCTTTTCTCCATCGCCCAAATCTGACAACACCAGCACTGTGTACCTGAAAGACAACAAGCAGGAGTGAGCAGTCTGTTTTTCCAAAAAAACATTTCCACAACCGTTGCAATGTCCCGTGACTCACGTACCTCCTCATCAGCTGCCAGATCAGTGCCAGGGTGTGCATGGGGCTGCCCTCCTTTATGTTTTGTCCTCCGATACCAACCAGAGAGAAATGAGCTATGTTCCTGCCCACGTCCACGGCGTAGTTACAGTTCTCCAGCTAAAATATGTATGAAAAAATCTGTAATTTAACAACTAAAATGTTTTAATGTTGTGTTGATCTAGTGTGTTTGTACGTTGTTGTACCTTTTTCATTTTTGCCCCCAGGAAAGGATAAGGGGGGTTGTTGACTTTCTTCCAGTCAACAGGGACATTAACTTTCTCATAAAGCTGCAGAATCACCAAACCATCACACAGGTCACTGCAAAAGACAAACACACACAAAACTTCATAACCTGTATGTAATCTGTAAATCTCTCAGGAGCTGTGAAGACGATCACAACAGTAATCCATGAACAGAGTTTAAGATAGAATATTCTGAAACTGGAGTTGTAGGTACAGGAGTTCATGTTTCCGTCTTTATAAACCAACTTTCCCACCATCACTGCAGCAGTAGCAAATAAAAAGAATGAAAAAATGTATATAAATATATATATATATACAAGAAAAAAACAACTTGTGAGTCCAAATAATTTATACCAAATCTGAAGAAAGAGTGGGACAGACCGACAACCTGAAAAACATAAAGCCTCCGGCCCCTGGCTGCCACCGGTGTTCCATTTTTACTTTGTTGTGTAGGTTTGGTTCTGTATCACTAATTCTGATGAACTAAGCAATAACCACTTCAAACAGGAGGCTGATACGTGCAGCTGTAAAAGTGATAACATCCAGATATAAACTTTGACCAAAACACTTAACTCACTGTTAAATATCTGAATAGAATAATGTGCTACTGCTATTATTACTATCACTGCTGCTGCTTCAATAATTGTTGTATTATTCTTTATTTATATTTGACACCTTTCAAAACTAATTCAGTTTTGAAAGAGAAAGTCCAAACAAAACAATCCTGAATAAAGCAACAAACATGCATATATATATATATATATATAAAACATATTTTCAGCAACAAAGTTGATCACACTGATGTGTAACATACCAGTACAGGTGGTTCACATACGGAGAGACGCCCAGAGAGTTGATCCAGTTGCGGAATGTTTTCTCTTCTTTGGACTCACCTGAAAAGACAAGATGACTGTGAACATTTCTGACGTGCTGTTCTCACACCGCTGAGTTATTGCCTGCATACAGTTGGTATAGATTTATGGCAGATGTAACCCGTCACACCCTGAAACCTCCATTCATTTACACTTTTTATTTGCCTGTGAACTGAGTGACCAGCGTCCATTTCCCTGTATATTCACACGATGCTCCTGACTGAGTGTGTGAGAGTCAGTATTTAATCTTGGTTTCTTACCCACTATGTGCGCGGTCTCTATGCCGTTGGTGTTAAGCTTATTTGTCTGCAGAGTGGGATGCATGTTGTACAGGTAGGCCACAAAAGCCAGGTTGAGCTTGCTGTTTCCAGATGTGACGTCGTGGGGGGAAACAAACTGTCTGCAGTCCAGCCGGGCCGCCTGCTGCAGCATCAGCTCAGCCCTCTGTTCCAAATCAGGCTCCTACACAGACACATGAAACATCTGTCAGTGCACAGACAATCATACCAGAGTCCAGGGAGGTCATTTACTGTTAATTGCATGCACTGTATCTGCAGGATGATAAAACAGAGAAGGGTGCAAGGACAAATAACAGAAAGAAAAGAAAAATACCTCCAAACAAGGCATATTACAATCAAGACACACTGTAGATATCAGCTCCATAAATAAATGTCTCATCAAGATCCGTGAGTTATTCTCTGGAAAGATTCATTAAAAGTGAAAAAAGAAAGCCTGGATCCGCCCCTTTGAGCAGATCCACACCAAACTTTAAAGGGTTCTTAAATTTCCACAAAGAAATCCATCCAGTAATTTCATCTAAATCCATCTGACAGTCAAACAATGGACAGGGGCAAACACATAATAATAATAATTGCATAACTTCATTTTACACCAAAATGAAACTTCCACAGTATATAATCATCCTTCTTTTGTGTTGGTCAGCGTGTGTTACTTACATAAATGCCGCTCATGTCGATTTTGATACTCATCTTGGATTGCTTTCCACAGGAAGCGATCTGGTCCAACAGGTAGAAGTAGGCTCTCGAGTCCTGCACAGTCGAAGTACAAGAGAGGGTCATACCCATGTCTGTCTTTGTGTAACTGCATGTGTTGTGTGTTTGTGTGTGCGTGTTCCGTGGGGCACCATTATGTCTTGACTAAAGTTGCTGATTGTTTCTGTCCCTGCGTTTTGTAGATGATGGTTGACCCAGTGAAGCAGCAGGTCCTCGGGGGACATAGACAGCAGATGGTCCAGTCCTTCTCCCTCTTTCAGAAGTCCAATTAGAGCTGGAAACACACAGAAGTGCATTTGGTGGAAATGGATAATTAACAGTGAAAGTATCACAGTTTAATGTTTTTTGGACACAATGGAACCTTTATAAAACTATGTATTGTCCAATTTGTCTTTATTTGTTAAATTCAAGCATGAACACTGTTCGAGCGGAAAAATAGGTCAAATTAATGATTAGTTGTTCAGCAAGATTTATCCTGCAACATTTTTCATTAATGATTCATTCATTGAAAGTAATTTTTCAAGCAACGATGCAGAAACACCTTTTTCAAGCTTAGTAATGTTGACATGTCACCGCGGAAGTTGAGGATGATCTCGACTCAAGGTCCACTTACTTGAGAGTCATCAAAACAATGGTAACTTTAAACATTTTCCTGAAGACCACGATACGAGAGAAAGCTCAAATGCAGTCAACCAAACTTAACGTATATTATTATAAGATTATAGTGTGTGTGTGTGTGTGTGTGTGTGTGCGTGCTGACCTTCGTTCCTGCTGACTTCTATATCAGCAAACAGACCAACTTTGATAATCTGCCAGAGCAGTCCCAGCACCAGATGGGGTTTCCCAGCCATCAGATCATGGGCATCTATGCTCACCACCGTGCAACCGATCGCTGACGCTGAGTTCAGAGCCAGGACCAGGTTTTCCTACAAAATCATTCAAATCATTTAATTGATAATCCATCTTTTACTGTTTTCTTATTGCTCTTTACGTGTTTGTCGAGATGCAAGACCATCTTTGTTTTGTCATTAGCCGTGTTGGGCGTCACGGTTGCTGAACATGTACGAAAAAGCCGCCACTCACGGTCATTTTGAAGGTGGTGAGTTTCTTCTTGTTGATGACTCTTTCGTCAATCGTGTCCGGCTGAGACTGGTTGATCATTTTGCTGAGAGGGAACAAAGAGTGTGAGCATGTGTGAAATAAAGAGTCGGTGAGGTAACTGTTGGATCTGATTTCAGACGTGAACAATCCTCCCTGTGTGAAATGAGGAGAGGAAGGAGGACTGACTCGCCATTAAACTACAATAAAACAGGATCACACCATTCCTGCTTCAACCTCTGTTAACAAAGCCATGTGAGATTTCTAAGGTTTAGATTAAGGCTCATTCGATTGATTTATGTCATCAGATTAATTGCATTTGATTAACAGTTTAACTGTATAACTGAAAACTATGTGTAGTGTATGGAGGGCGTTTTGGCAACATAAGTAGGTGTGTGTGTGTGTGTGTATGTGTGTGTGTGTGTGTGTGTGTGTGTGTGTGTGTGTGTGTTTTACCAGAGCACGATGCCATCACAGACGGAGGTGAAGAGACTTTCATCATTTGGGTTCATGGGCAGCAGATGTTCGCAGTCTGCATCTTTGGCCAAAGCTTTGTTGATCCAGTTGACGAAAGCCACCTTCTCCTCATCTACACACACACACACACACACATTTCTTTTATCAACACTTTTTTACAACTATTTTGTTGTGTATAATTAATTAACCATTTTTTAACATTATATAATATCTATGGCTTGAGATTGCTAAATAGGGAGACTTAAATAGGAACAAACAATCACCTGATCATAAACATACCTTTGTGCCTCTAGAACAATTCCATCTGTGCATGATATTTCACATAAAACAATAAGTTCTTTAACACAAGGTCGTTTGATGCAGTCAAATCACAGCTATCAAAATACTATGATGGCTCCATGTCTGGTAGCATTCAATATAAAGCTATAAAGGATGATAAACATGTTTTCCGTAGTCATAAAGCTGAAATAATCAGGTCAGAGTTGGATGGGTCACAGATTATTCCGTTATCACAAGGTTAAGAGAAAGAGGTGCAACTTAGAAAAGTAGGGTCAAAAATCATTTTATATTTAAGGTTTCTAGAAATAAAAAAACCAACAGTGTTTTCTGGGTTTTCAAAGATCACACTCGAATCTAATGTAAAACTAGGATGGCATTCAGCAGAGCGCATACCTCCACCAAGGCCAAACAGTCCCCTTAAATTGAACCAACCTGCATCAAATCTTTCTCCGAGATCCATGAATTAGTCCATGGCATAAATGGTGAAAATATTGAAAAATGTAGTGTTAAAGAAATTAAGAAGAAAAGTCTTGGATCCACCCCTCAATCCAGATCCCCACCAAATTTTAATGGGTTCTTACCTGATCCATACTTCATCCTTTCACCAAGTGTCATGGAAATCCATCATGGTGTTTTCAAGTAATCTTGCACACACACAGACAAACACAAATACACACACACACACACAAACACACACACACTCACTCACCAGAGTAGGAGTGCTGCGTTCCCTCGCTGGAAATCCTGGACGTTCCTCCAAAGGATCGGATGCCGTCTCTCCTCGTGATGGATTTCCTGAACGTCTCACTGAGCGTTTTGCTCTTCAGCTCCTGATAGATCTGAGCGTGAACAGCCCGTGTTACTCCGGGTGTGTGGTTGCATGCATTTGTCCATATATTTGCTCAGATATCACGAGCCGTCAGAACTTACTGAAACAAACTCCTCGAAGCTGATCTTCTCGTCCTTGTTGCTGTCTCCGGCTATGAAGGTCGCCATGATCTCTCGCACCTTGTAACCCGGCAGGGAGAAACTAGCCTCTCTGAACAGCTCCTGAAGCTCAAAGTCACTCACGAAGCCGCTCTTATCAATATCTAAATAGACAAATAGACGAAAACATGGAGGTACACACGCAGGTTTATGAAGCTTCACCAATATTCATCTGAAACTAAAGAGTCAAATAACTATTTATACAAATCCTGGATGATAAAAGCAGGAACAAAGAAGGGGCCTCAACAGGTCAAGTATATGTAATATGGAAATGGTTATATTTATGTTTATTTACATTGAGATTATAAATTGTTATTAGCTGTAATGTCCCAAAAAGTGCTGTTCCATTTAAACCAAAATATATATTTGTTTATTATTCATTAATTATTATAACCTTTGCTCCCCGTACATGCTGAACTAACAATATTATTTGTCCACCTCTGCATAGAAACCAATTTCTGTCACTTTGTCAAAGAAGATAATGATGATGTACAATAATGAGTAAGTATCTGAAGATAACAACTCACAAAATAATGACATCAAATCTAAAAATAACGACTTAGTACCTCAGAGTGATGACTTACTATCTAAATGAATAGTTAATATCTCAAAATAATAATTTACGAACTCAAATTGATGACATCATATCCCAAAAATGACTTAGCATCTCAAAGTTTTGACTTTTAACTTCACAATTTTGACTTAGCATCCTTGTTTTCCTTTTCCCGTCACTGACAAGAATGTAGTATCAGTAGTATAGGACTATAAATCATCGTATCATAAAATCTTCCTGGTGACTCTGCCAACGTCACGTGAGCACAAATAAACTGTCATACTTATACTGCCAAAAACATGATAACACAAAATAACATGTCACACTGGGCAGAGTCTTCACCTGTTTCACTGTATTTATTTATAGTGTCTTTTTGCAATTATACACCTATGATGATTATCTGATCTGGCACTGTCTCAGAAAACTACGTTGCACATACACAAAGTACACACACTTAACATCCCCAGCAATAAAAATCTCTTACATAAGATAATGCTTTATGGTCGCCTATAAAAATCTCCCTTTGGCCACAACAAGCCTTTTTTTCATAGCAGCCATTTTGACATTGAATAAGTAAATGCAGATGATTCTGATCAATAGAAAAAAGACTGTGCAACTATTGACCTTCATTAATGCCATTAAAAACATCTGTGTGATTATTGATTAAAGATGGCCGCTGTCAGAAGCGGCCCTTGTCCCGGGCTGTGGGGTCAGATTTGCGGTGTGGGTGTGGGTGTGGCTGTGAAACTAACCAATTTTATTAAAGGCCTCTCTGAGATCCTCCAGGTCTTCTCTGGAGATCTGTGTGACGTGATTCTCCATAGCAGCTTCTGCTTTGTGTACCTGAAACATGAACACACACGTTTTTTTTTTTTTTTTTAAAGGACTGAGAATGAACTTCTCACAGCCGGTAGAGCACTCACCTTTCTTTAATTTGCATTAATTTACTGTTCACCTACACAACAGGGAACAAGGTTCCACATAAAGCTATTTGCATTTCACAATAAAACATCCTTTTAATTCTTTACTCAACTCGACAACTTTGGGAAAGAAACTGTGTGACACCACCAGGACAGAGACATACCTTCATAAGAGCCTGTGTTTCCCTGTCTCGAGTCTAAGAGCCTCCTGCTGCTGATCCCTCTGGTCTGGCTACAAGAGTCAAGTTGTCCGGAGCTCCGCGAGCCTCTAGACCCGGGGCAGAGAGGAAGCTGGATCCTGCAGAGGCTGCACAGCCGATTATCTCTCTTAGGAGGAGTCACTCAGGAGAGGCATGGAGGAGACCTTTGTCCTGCCTGTACCCTGGGACAGGCGTACTCAGACAGTTAACATTTAACACCTCAGCTGTGTCATCGTGTTATTGTCCAGGAAGCTTCTTCTGTTTGTCCCTCCTGCTGTCAATGTACATATACCTGACTCATGTATGTAGAATGAGGGGAAAAAGAGATCACAGATACTTTCTTATAATCTCAGACTTAGATGTAAACCTTATAGAGCAATAGTTTGAGATTACAGGAGAAATATTTACTTCTTTTAAAGTGAGTTAGACTGTTTGTGTTTGGTATTGATTTGTGTTTGGTAAGGCCAAGAGATGGTTAAGAGTAATCAGTTAGCCACAATCTATTCAGGCAGGGATTTCCCTGAGTCTCTGCCAAACTCACTGCACAGACCAAAAACCTATTCCAGTACATGTGAATATTACATTTCAAGTTTTTACTTTGGTTTTTGTACCAATTAAACAGAACATGTCAAATATTGTGCTTATTACCTCTGGAAAGAAGCTGCTTACTGACAAATCCACTCAGTCATTCGAACATGGTTTAACACTTATGGTTTCACATCTTCCTTTTAAAAAGCTGTAATGTGTCGTGCAGAACTAAAAACTAAAAAAAGTGTAATTCAAACAAACTTAACCAAATGGTCAAAGGTCAAACTAACAACCATCGACCTCTCACCATCAGTTTTTAGATCTGGCTACACATTTATATGTGGTCTGTATTTATATGGAGCTTTTCTCGTCTTGATGACCACTCAAACCGCTTTTCTGACAGTCACTCTCTGGAATTATTAATAAACTGTAAGATTGATGGTATTTTTATTCAGCGACTGTAGACAGACTGAAGCAGTGGCCTCCTTCCGATGCTTTTTTTTTCAAATTGACCATCCCTGCATCTCTGTCCGACATGTTTAAAACATGAGGGCCTGTGTTTGCCTGCACAGTCGCCTCCCGGCCACACAATGCCCAGTAACCCGAGGCAGCGAGCCAACCTCATCACTTGGATTAAACTGCCTCGCTTCACAACAACACTGCCACTTTAATGCAGCGCTCAGTCTTTATTCCAACACACAACAAAGCTGTGCAACCGTCCATTTATCGATTTATGCCTCGTTTGTTGTTTCATGTTTCTCTCCAGATTTTTCTCTTCTTCTTAAAAACTCCAAACAGGAGTGAGAACAGTTGTGCATTAAACAGAAAAGTTCACCTGCTTTTGATAACACGGTGAAACTATAATGTGAGGAAAGAACAGAAGGAGCTTACATTGAGTCCCAGGCAGGCTGAAGGGCTTAGAATCCCGAGCAGGGCCAGTCCAGAGGAGAAAATCAGCTTTGGGCTCCTTTCTTCCTTTTTCTCCTCTTCCAACCCCTACGTTATACGTCCCTGCTTTATTATTAACCCCTTTCCTCTCTTTCTCTACTTACCCTCGTTTTGAAACTCCCCTCCTTTTCTACCTGTCAACTTCTCCCATCACCGCTTCCACTGCTGAAAAAGACAGTCCCAAAATCAGCTGAAGTGAACGAAGCTGTGCAATATGTTTCCCTGTTGGCTCAGAAAAACACGCCAGGGACATTTTCATTCCTCATCACAGCAAAGTCAAAGTCACTTTCAACATTTTTGCTTCCACACAGGCCAGAGAGCCCAACCCCCCTGTTCCAACGTCACCTCTTTTCTTCCTCAGACACCTGATCAGCCCAGTTTCACTCTGTGCTCTCCAGTTACTCCCTCCATCTAATAGACTCAGGCGAGAGCGCTCCACCTCCTGCCCCTGATGATGGAGGCCACAGTTTTGGCTGTGGAACCCTGAGCCAGGATCAATTTTTAGAGTAAAAGTGCAACTTTCTCATAAGCCTCCTTCATTATTCACGGGCAGCAACGTGAAAACTCAGACAAAAATAGATAAGCACACAATTATACCATACATTCAAATTCCCTGTGTGTTTTCTAAAATCTTATATCCAACAAATATCACTGATAATCACAAAATACTACAATCATAGAGGCCTTTAATTTAAAGCACCGGATGCACAGGATGATTTTCATTTGATTTAAGCCATTTAAAGACATTACACATACACTGAAACAGCTTTTGATCACAATAATCAATCCTCCCATTCATACTGCCTGCATATGTGATATCAGTAAAGTCATTTCAAGAAACATTTTTAATAATGAAGTCCAACCAATACTCACATCTCTACAGGTAAGTTGAAAGAGTTGTGGGTTACTCTAAATGTTCCTCTTGGTCCGATAGGATGTAAAACTTTTCCAAGACTCAAGTGGAAAAGTGAAAGGCAGCAACCTTTAAAAGTTGGAACGACACGCTGTTCCTCTTATGAAAGAAATGCCGAGAGCATTATATGGGTAATAAAATGCACCATTGCTCCATTTTAATACTCTGAGGGATTTGGCAGCTTTACCTGCTCCGGTTCACAAATGTAATGCTTTTATGACTCTTATCTACTTGTGCCACAGTTAAACTACATTTTTTCAGCATTCACCACTTTCGTTCTTGTGACTGCGGCCTGGCAAAAGGTTACAGGCTCACTTTATGTTGGGGACGATGTTTTCATTTGGACATATAGGACTTTACAGACAGTGTGGACAGGAGGAAGATCTACAGGTGTTCAGTGTACATGGAATTAAAGTGTTTGAACTTGAACCTTTCCATAAAAACTCAAAAACATTTCCTCATTATTTACAATATCTAATTATATTTATTGTAGTACCATCTGGTTCCACCTGACACTCACCTGTACTTTGTTTTACTCAGCTGTAATGTGAAGACGTGGCCACTCAGAGGCAGAGCTGCCTCAAGTTGGAGTCTGACTCAAAGGACAAAGGACCTGAGCGACGGAACTCAACCCAGACCAGACACATTCACACAAGCTCCTCCTCTGAGATAAGATGGATAGAACAGGTCATGTCAGGGAAACACTCACTACCAGGTTCTCAGATCCAGTTTAGGGGAACTTCAGTCAAAGTATAACTGGTAAAGTAATAAATAAATGTTGTATTTGAAGTTGAGTCAGGAACACTTTGTCGTGATTTACCCATTTATTGAACAAATGGGAAGACAGGTATGCTTGGCGTGGATGGCTCCATTCTCTCTCTCTCTCTCTCCATCCATCCACCTCTCTCTCTAGCTATCCATCTATCTATATCTATATCTCTCTATCCATTCATCCATCCATCCACCTCTCTCTCTAGCTATCTATCCATCTATCTATATCTCTCTATCCATCCATCTCTCTCTCTATCTATCCATC